AGATGCCGGCCACAGAGACTGGCGAAACGTTAGGAAGAATAACCTTCAGAATATGGCCAAAGAGCCCGAAAAACCCAGAACAACCATTAGATCCCGGCTGTGAAAGCCTTTGCGAACCTCTAAATTACTTTACCTGGGCTTTGGCTGGAATGGCTGAGTTTTAAAAAAGTTACCTTCTGGACTTCAACTCCCAGAATTCCACGGACAACATGGCTCTATGTGTGTTAACTGGGGAATTCTAGAAGTTATAGTGTCAGGGAAGGCTGGCGCCAGTTCATTGGCTGGGGAATCACAAAACAACACAAAGGGAATCTTATTAATAAAGCCATAAAACTTTATTGCTTTCAAAAGCAGGGGAGACATTGAAACACTACAGTATATGAGTAAAGAGTTTCTCACTGGAAATGAAGCAGTGGTTCTTTTTATACTTCTAAATGAAGTTACTCAGAGTAAAAGCTGTATATCCACAGGATTGTATAATATATAAACAACAGAAATTACAAAGACAATTCCGCTGTTCAGGAAATATCTTTATCTATCATGGTGCCTCTGTTGACCTGATTCATCAAACACAACTTTCCTGATCTGCTCAGTGCCCTTATAGGGATACTTCCACGTTCAGCTTATTTCTTCCCCCCGCCTCGTAAGTCCATAAAACTAAAATTACTCCCATTGGGATTCAGTGGAGCTTATACTAGATTGCAGTGTAAAACTATCCTTGTTTGTGCTTAGTGTATTCGACTCTTTTGAATCAAAATGACAAGTGCTCTCTGTTTAAGCTCCAGACCCTACGTTCTTTGTACAGATGGGACAACTTACTTGGAAGGGGGAGTAACACCCAGAGTTCCCCAGATAATAGTGGCCATGATGTCTGGATCATTGTTAGAGTAGAACCCTAAAGTAACTTTGCCCACATCTGGAACAATCAAGGTAGGTTTGAGAAATACCTCCATCTGAAACCCTAAATAACTGTTGCAAGTTATTGTTGCCAATTACAAGTTGTATGGGCCAAGTGGCTTTATGTAAGATGGTTTCCTATATCTGTGCATGATATAGGAGTATAGGTATACATACACACTTAGAAGAGTAGCATGCATGCATGTATGTACATAAACATATTTTATTATAATGTATAATTTTAACAGGAGTCATGTTAATATGGTGGAACAAATGGGTCTGCTTAGTTGAAAGTACAGTACTTGTTCAACCTGTTTTATCTCTCGGGCACATTCTAGGCATGGAGAAAATCAATTTCTCAGGAGGGGAGCCATTTCTGCACCAAAGAGGTGAATTTGTTGGGAAACTGGTCCAGTTTTGCAAACAGGAGCTTAAGCTGCCAAGTGTCAGCATCGTGAGCAATGGCAGTATGATCAAAGAAAGATGGTTCAAACATTATGGTAAGAGGAACGACAGTCAGATGTCACTTGCTCTTTGTATGTTGCACTTACTGAGTGCTGTGGGGAATGGAAACAGAAAACTGGACGGCATGGGCGAGTAGTAAAACAGAACAAGATGGAACATAAACCAAAGCATGAAGCCCAGTGAGCTAGACGTAACAACAGTCTGGAACACAATGAGCAACTAAGTACTTATGCATAATGAGCATGGAATGTTGCTTGGCTATTATATCCTGAAGATTAGGACATGACTGGATGGAACCCTAAACTGGGTTTATATAAAGATAATCTGTGGAACTCTTTGCCACAAGATGTGGTGATGGCATCTGGCCTAGATGCCTTTAAAGCCCCCACAAACACACCCAGTACCGCTTTCAGAGGCTTCCCTGGGCTTTCCCAGCACAGAAAAAGGCAGGGGAAAAGCACCATTTTTTAATTTCCCGCTTTTCCCCCTGCCTTTTTCCATGCTAGGCAAGCCTTGGGAAGCCATGAGACCCAGCGCCAATAAGCTGAGAGGCGGGGAGGGGGGGCAGGAACAGAGACAACCACAAAATGGCTGCCGCTTCCCTGCTGGTTGCCGGCTCTCAGCTGTTTGACGCTCTGTCCAGCTGTTCCCCAGCTACCAAGGCACCGTGAGGAGTGGGGCTTGGTCTACTGTACCTGGTAAGTGACTTTTTTTCTCACTTTTCCCCCCATAGGAATACATTAATTAAATTTCAATGCATTCCTATGGGAAAACACGCTTCACAAGATGAAATTTTTGCTAGACGGCATTAACCGTGGAACGGATTAATTTCATTTTGTGAGGCACCACTGTACAATAATAACTAGATACAATACACACTGGACTATCCCCACCCATGCCAACTTCACCATTAGGACTAGGTGACCAGAAGTATCCATTTATATCCCTTTTTACCCCATACCACCTTAAAAATACTTTGATTCTTTTGCTGGCATATAGCCTTTCCTCTTCAAAAAAACATGTTCCCAGTATAAATTCCATACACCTTTAAAATAATTAGATTTTACAATTCCTCTTCCTATTTTAAATGTTCCCAATATAAATTCCATACACCTTTAAAATCATTAGATTTTACAATTCCTCTTCCTATTTTCTTTTCACGTGTTAATTTATTGTTAATTGCTAAGCTCCACATTTCTTTATACCAGTCTTCCAGATTAATTTGTTATGTTCTTATGTACTTGCTTCCCATGGTGTACTTTATTAGCCAGTAGAAATCACACATTGGCCAGAATCCTATTGGTCTTTGTGTCTAAGGGATGGGCTGCAGGGCCATGTCTCACTCGACATGCCTCATTACACGCTCCACGGTGCAACCAAGATGCACCCAAACACCTTCTCAGTGTGCCACAATTAAATGTGGCAAGTTATAGAAATTTTGTACAAATACCTGTAGGATTTTAGCCATTTTGGTTGTTTTTTAGTTTGAATTTTAATTTTATTGAGACATAATTTATTTCAGGTTGTATCTTTTTTTCTTTCTTCTTTTACAGCTTCTAGGTTTATTTGTATTGGAATTCTGATAAACTTCACATGATCTTTGTATAGCAACACCTGGCACAAGTGATTTGTTATATGTTAGATTTGCTGTTCGTACTAGTAGCTAAGAGGAAGAAGAGTTTTATTTGGTCTGATGGTTTTTCTTTGAGCTTAATGATCCATAAACACACAGTTAATAAAAATGAGTAAGGCAATAAAATACTTGCTTTTGTTAGCCTTCTTTGTCTGACCAATATTACAATGAATGATCTATAAATTCAAACTTGTGGTCAGGAATGGATAAATCTTAGTGCCTGCCTGCCAATGATGTTGAACGTTGGTGTGTTTTGTCATTTTAGGCAAGTACCTAGACATTCTCGCGGTGTCTTGTGACAGCTTCTGTGAAGAAGTCAATGTTCTGATTGGCCGTGGGCAAGGGAAAAGAAACCACGTGGAAAATCTCCAAAAACTGAAGAAATGGTGCCAAAACTATGGCGTGGCTTTCAAAATAAATTCTGTGATTAACAGATTTAATGTGGAAGAAGATATGAATGAACAGATTACAGCTCTAAATCCTGTCCGTTGGAAGGTAAGAGCCTTCTCCTGTCTGCAAAATAATGACATGTTTAGCATAGATATGTTGCCGCCGTATGATGCTCTAAATTAAATGTGCAAGCCAATGATTCTCCTATGGATATGTGTAGAACAATTGTGCAAATGTGTGGACTGGCTGAGACTGGAATCCATGTGATTATCTTCACTCAATCATACAGCGAAGTAAGTATGGTTCACCTCTTCCTAATGTGAAGCCAAATGACAGACTCAAATAACTGCATTGGAACATTGCTGATTCAATCCCTTTACGATAGCTTACGCAAAGCATGGAACCATAGTGGTGTCCAGATGTCTTACTCCGTCTTCTTCTTGCTTTGTAATTGTGGGGATAGATGTTAAAGGAGACAAGAAGCTCCTGATCCCTCTTCCCCTCCCCAACTTTCTTACAACATGTGGTAATGTGCCACACTCCTTGGGGAGATGTCTCTTTCTCCAAATTTTCACACAAGTTACACATTCGCCAGATAATCACATTTCCTCTAAACCCAGCTTCCATTTCTTACTACCATCATGTTAGGCATTAGCCCCAAGGACAGCGCCCCTCCCAAATGGATCCAAAGTGTTGCATCTTTTGCTGTACCCCTCAGCCAGTGCCTTCTTGCCTCAGCTGATATTTGGTTGTTAAGTGAAAAGGTTATTTTGATTTAAGCTGTTTCTCCTCCTCCTCCAGTTTTGAGGAGGCTGAGTCATATGGAGTGTGTTATACTCTTTGGTTTTCTCACTGCCAAATATTCTTAAAGTTATACTTAAAAATAAATGATGAGGAACTGTTTTATGTGTGTAATATATACTTAGATAAAGAAATGTATATATTTAACTTTCTAGTATCCTTCCACATGCACCTCTCTCTTACCTTCAAACTTTCAGATTGTTTCTAGACTCCACACAACAAACTCTCATTAACCCCTTTCTTATTCTAACTCAAGACATACACGCTCCCCAACTCACTTTCTCTCAAAAACCAACTTCCCCAAAACAGACTGAACTCTCTCCAAACTGCTTAATTGCCACCCCATGTCACATTCTAAATGCATCAGCCAATCAGCATTTAGAACTGCTATCCTCTTTCTATCACCTGGGTCTCAAGGTTGGGAAGCACTGCCTTAAAGCCTGCTCTACCTTTTATAGCCTGTAAAGTCCTCAGCTTTCAGTAGGTGGCAGTAAGGCAGTAGAGATCCTGCTTGACTTTGGAAAACTGTTCTGGTTCCAGGGCTAGGTTTGTACACCGAGGTGAATGCAATATATTTCCTCCTAAATATATAGATGTAATTTTTAAAAAAAATGATCTTAATGAAAAATATGGCATTCTCACATTTTAAGTTTAGTCGCTGCACTAAAGTTCTGAATTGCTAAACCGGCATGAGATTACTCAAATTGGCTCTCAGAGGGTCCAAAATAATCAGTGGAATAGTATTGATTTGATTAATCAGTCAGATGAATCAGTTCTAAACTTTCTGATGAGCCTGGTTATTCAAGCACATTTCTTGTTGAGGGTAATTTATGTTTTCCAGAAGCAGGTAGGTATATATATATGCCATGAGGCAGAGGGAGGGAGCTGCTTCATACAGGAGTATATGCTTGTGGTGCACAGTGGCAGTGGTTTCAGAGGACATAACGTGGCCTGCTTTGGGGTGAACAATCTGACCTGCTGCCCTCAGGCATGATGGGAAATGCTGTCAGCAGTACTGGAGTAAGATTAACATCTTAGTCTCTTGTAGAATGAGAGCCATTTTGGCTAAACCAAAATGTCTTGAGCCAGCTCTGACACCAAGTGCTGTCAGAATCCTATTGATGTTTGTATAAAATCTGCATAACTTGCTGCAGCAAATTGTAGATAATTGATGAGGTGCCAGGTCATGTCACTGTTGTGCAATCAGACACATGGCCAAGCATACAACAACCCATGCCTTGGCACCTCGTCAGTTAGCCAGAATTAGCTGCAACAAGTTAAACAAACCTTCCTCAAGCACTAGAAGGCTTCTAGCAGCTGTGTGAGAAGGCCTCATGCAAATATCTGCTGCGTCTGTGTTGAGATGCAGATTTAATTGAATAAGCGATTTATTACTCAAATAAAGATGTCTTTAGATCAGATGACTGCCTTAGAAAGACCTGCAGAAAAAGGGAGCGGGGTGAGATTACATGGATCTCAAAAAGAGCAGGCAGCCCATGGGCCTGTTGGCCTGCCAGCTCGTGATCTAACAAGCCAAACAGAATTCCACAACTCCACGGAAACAAAAGCCTTGACACACCTGATTTTGTTTCCTGTCCAAGGGCTGTAAAGGGCCAAGCCCCACATTCAGAGTAACACACTGCCATATGTGTATTTAAACATGCAAAGAAAACCTTTGTTTACATTTCAGAGATAATGCTCAAGACATCAATACTTCTCCCTTTAATGTGTTTTCACTGTTTCACCTTTTTTGCACCTTGGATTAGTTGAGGCTCACTGACTTTGACACAAATAGAAAAGGAACAGTACATGGATGATCAGTTGCTAGGAGGGCTACACTGAGAAACAAACAAGGGTACCGGGAAACTTCCAAGCCTCAGTGCATTAATGATATCATTTTCAATGTGTTAGTCTTTAAAGTGGTGCAAGATTCTCAGCTGATTTTGCTGCGACTTAAAACGTGGCTAGCCTTTTGAGAATTTTGACTCATAGCTTGTTTTGGTGTGTCACAGCAGAAACAAGAAAAGAACACTTTGGTACCTGGAAGAAGAAGAAAGCAACATAATCTACATGAAACATTTAATACAGAATGAGTTATCTGTTAAAATAAAGCTGTTAGATTCTAAACTACTCTGCAGGACATGGAAACGTTTGCACTGAAATAGCTCATCAAGCGTGACTCTTCCGGACAAGCCAGTGATTCTGCTGTGGCTGCTGCTGTAGTAGAATAATGAATCTCTGACTGCTTTGGAAACAGCAACAAAACAAACCCTTATGGGTTCTTAATTTTCCCCCCGTAGCTGACAGCTTTACGTTAGTAAGCATCTAGTAACTAGCATTTGGTTACTTCTGACTCTGTGTTTCTACACAAAAAAGACAGTCTGAATCTCTCCATCACATTGTCTATCACAGTAATTGTGACCAGAAAGCACCTCTCTTTATCATACTGCTTTGTGTCCCCTAGGTATTTCAGTGCCTGCTCATTGAAGGAGAAAACACAGGGGAAGATGCTTTGAGAGAAGCAGAAAGATTTGTCATCAGTGATGAAGAGTTTGAGCGATTCCTACAGCGTCATAAAGATGTCTCTTGCTTAGTGCCTGAATGCAATAAAAAAGTAAAGTTATATTGGCCATTTGTACTTTTTGGAAGAAAAGCACTGGGGAATGAGAAGTCCAAATGCTGACTGATCTGTTACATATTCTGAAATATGCTTGCGAAGACCAACCCCCAAAATTTGTAGCCCTTAGTTCTTCGTTTTCTCTGGTTATTGGAAATCTTCATAAGGGTGACAACCCATTTGTTAGCTTTTTTGCAAGTTGGTAATACATGCTTATATGACTTGGATATTTTTGATTCAATGGATAAGTCTCATCAATGCGAAATGCAACTCTAGGATACGATTGCAGGGATATTACAGCAGCATTTGTGACTGTCTGCTTTGCCAGAGAGTGGGTTTCTGAGAGTTTACTCATTTAATTTCCCAACCACTGAGTGCTGTTGGAATTAACATTAATAATAGTAATAAGAAATGCAACATTTCAAAAATGTAACTGCTGCAGGTGATTGTGCAGAACAGAGCAGTTTCAAATTATCAGTAGCGTTTTTCAGAAACAGGAACTAAAAGAGAGTGTAGAATTCTGAAATCTTCTTCTTCTTCTTCTTCTTCTTCTTCTTCTTCTTCTTCTTCTTCTCTTC